CCGTTCGTCTTTATGTCCATTGTTGATTTCTGTCATCTTCGTCCTGTCGTTGTTTCGTCTTTCGTTGGGCGCCATTTGTTGTGTCCACCTTGTGTTAGAATTAGTGCCCTTAGCCACCATGCCATGAGAGGCGACTGAGGGCACTAATTCTAACACAAGGTGGACACAACAGGGTATAGAAAATTTTGGTGGAACAAGATATATTATAAAATTCGAAACTGTAGGAAATTTACTCACTATTTTAAAAGAATTTTTAAATCCAAAAACTATAACATTTATAAATTGTACCATATGGTAGAATATTTACATATATGAAATAGCACACTACGTTTACGCGAGCCTTAAAAGTTGTTTTAATGCGTAAACAGCCTAAGCTGAATTTTGCTTAAAAGCACTTTTAGCTTACTAAAATTAGTTGAACATCACTTTAAAAAATGTCACTTTTAAGCATTTACTGTTAACAGTGAATAAATACAAATAATTTGAGATTGAATTTTATTATAAATAGCACTTGTAAGGTAATAAGTATATTAAAAAAAGAACATTAAAATAAAATAAAATAAAATAAAACACTTTTTTATTTAAAATTTTTAATTTTGTTACAAAATATATTAATAACTCACTCTTTTGCACGCTTTAATAATTTTAACCCGGTTTTTATAATTGTTTTTAAAATAAAATCCATTTTGTTTTTGATCATTTATTATTTTAATAACAATTTCAAAAGTTTCAATTTTATGATTTGGGTTTACCAAATCTTCCACTATTATTAATTTTTGAGCTATTGCGGTTTTTATCGCGTATACTACTTTGCACGTCATGTTGGGTTGTTTTATAAAATAGAACGATTCTTCTTTCTACTAATATAGGATTGCACGCAAAATTTGCGTTAGGCGCCGTTCAGACCGGAGAGGAGACAAAATATTTTTGCGCAATGTAAAAAAAAATCAAAAATGGTGTTAGACGCTGGACATAACTTACCTTCTATACGTACATTAAGACCGAAAAGTTTTCGGAAATTCTCATTTAAAATTCGCGCGCTGTATATTTTTCGATATTTTAAGTTTATGTAGTTTGGCAG